CGGACCCAAAAAAAAAAAAAAACAAAAGATGAGGGAGAATGATGGGAAGAGTAATATTGATCAATATGCATTGTACTAAAAAAAAACTGACATGTTAGATTGAAACTCCTTTGTACAACTACCAAAAATAATTGTTTAAAATTAAACGGACATAACAGAATATGGTTAAGAACACAAGAATTAACAAGAAAGACATTTTCTTACATTCAGCTTTCAAATGTCTTCTTAAATAAGAATATAGGATAAGTATAATGCAAGAGGGATTAACTGAGGAGAGAGACTTGAAAAGTGTTTTTAAATAAGTATTTTATTATATTTTAAAAAAAACAGAAGGAAATTTGAGTGTGAAAAAAATAAATAAACATAACTATTTTCTCTGTCCAGCCTATCTCTGCCTCTCAGCTCACCCAAGTCCAGGATCAGGGCAATGTCACTCAGAGACATCACAGAATTACACTTGTGTTCCTGGTGCCCCGGCTTGCCATGACCCTTGCCTAAACTGACTGGCTCAACACTGACTTGTGCTATCATTGGCTTCAGGACAGAAACATAATCCTCCTGAGATGGAAGATTGCACCAGCCAAATACTCAAATGTTGCTCAGTGTGTTTCATCACCCTCTGTCACCTGCCCAGAATTGTGACATTACTTCTCAGATGATTCCCCAACATGAGATGTATCAACAAAGCACACACCCATTCATCCTGGCTTCCCACAGAATCTGAAAAGGAGCATAGGGCTTAGCTCTGGAATCAATAGCCACACAAAGTCCAGTACAAATCCTCCATTGTCCTCTGCATTTGTTACAGTTGCCTGCTGGATGCTTGTCTTTTGACAACCACCATCTTTTTTTTTGGGGGGGGGAGGAGGAGGTGGGTCCTGTTCCTGAGCTCTTTGGCTCAAGGCTAGCTAGCACTCTACCACTTGAGCCACAGCTCCACATCCAACTTTTTCTGAGTAGTTTATTTCCATCGGCGATAAGAGTCTCATGGACTTTCCTGCCCTGGCTGGCTTCGAACCATGATCCTCAGATCTCAGCCTCCTGTGTAGCTAGGATTACAAGGGAAGAGCCACCAGCTCCCAACTCTATATCATCTTTGAACCTTCTATACACTCCCCATGTCACAGAGGTTCACTTCCCTACTTGACAGGTTAAAAAGGGCTGCCACTCTGAATAAAACATGATCCATGCCAGGTGCCAATGGCTCACACCTATAATCCTAGCTACTCAAGAGGCTGAGATCTGAGGATCTCAGTTCAAAGCCAGCCCAGGCAGGAACGTCCATGAGACTCTTATCTCCAATTAACCAACAAAAAACCAGAAGTGGCGCTGTGGCTCAAATACTAGAGTGCTTGCCTTGAGCTGAAGAGCTCAGACACAGCTCCCAGGCCCAGAGTTCAAGCCCCATGACTGACCCCCCCCCAAAAAAAAGTGATCAGAGATCATCATGATCAATACTAGCCCAAAGTCTTACCAACTACAACAGGAAACCACTAATGAGTTTATTAACTCATAAGTCATAGGAACACCCATTTTAAAAATGTACTCAGAATCTGGGTGCCCATGGCTCACGCTACTGGTAGAGTTCTATCCTTGAGAAAAACATGCTCAGAGACAGGGCTGGGAAGGTGGCTCAGTGGTAGAGTGCTTGCCTTGCTTGCATGAGGCTCTGGGTTCAACTCCTCAGCACCACATAAGCAGAAAAAGCTGGAAGTGACGCTGTGGCTTAAGTGGTAGAGTGCTAGCCTTGAGCTGGAGAGCTGAGGGACAGCGCCCAGGCCCAAAGTTCAGGCCCCACAACCAACCAAAACAAAAAACCTCTCAGGGACAATGCCCAGGCTAAGTTGAAGCCAAGACTGGAACAAAAAAAGTGCTTGGAGAAAGAAAACATTAGTAAATTTATCTGAAAGAAGGTTCTGTCAATTAAAAGAGGATCACACAGTTCGAAATATCCATGTTGGGAAAAATGTTATTGGTAATAATACTTTGGGGTTTAAATGTACACCTCAAAGCTCTACAGTCATTTAAGAATAATAATAATCCAATGACACAAAAATACTCAGATATTTTCAGCCAATTGCTTTGTTATTTGCAACACGTAAAAGTATACACTTTCTACAATTCCTTTTAGACATAGCTCCAGAAAATAAATTTCTTCTACTGAAGAATGTATCGGTTTTTAAATCTTATGTCAGATGGGCATTTTTCTCGTTATTTTGGGGAAACGCATAAATTAGGTTTAGCCTTTTAATTAAATTCAGCAACGTATTCTTTCTTATTACTTAGTCATTATTCCTATATAATACTACTTCCCTACAAATTCCAAAAAATACTATCCCCAAGCAAAAGAGTTTCTTTAGGCAAAGGAGAGACAGGGATTGGCTACTTTGGTCAGCTGATTTAGTACCAAGTATGAAATGGATACCAGGATATCATGGTCAAACAAGTTTAGGAAACACGACATTAAATAACATTAAACTTGCTTCTTTATTATGGGACTCTTTGAGGCCTTTGCCATTATGTAATAGTGCTCTCCAGGCCTGGCACCTGTGGCTCACACCTGTAATACTAACTACTTAGGAGGCTGGGATCTGAGGATCAAGGTTCAATCCCTACCAGGGCAAGAAAAGTCTGTAATGTTTATCTCCTATTAACCAAAAAGCAGGAAATCGAGTTGTGGCTAAAGTGGCAGAGTGCTAGCCTTGAGCAAACGTGCTCAGGGACAATTCCCAAGCCCTGAGTTCAATCCCCAGGACCAGAACCAAAAACAAAACAAAACAAACAAAAATAGTGATAACACTTTCCAAAAGGAAGGAACAGTGTGTGACGAAGAAGAGTTTGTTATTGTCATTGCTTGGATGGAACCCTGGACTTCACATATATATCCTAAGCACTCTTTCTTCCACTGAACTACCATCATATTTTTAAATCAACTAGCCTTCACTAGTAAAGCATAGTTTGAGGATCATACTTTGAGAGTCCCCAGTTTAACAGTTAGAATATGATACTAATTTCAAAAACCTGGGTTAGCTGGTTAGTATCCCTTGGTATGGTTTAGGTATTGTGAGTCCCCAAAAGCTCACACTTCAGGAGGCTTAGTCCTTAGCGTGGTGGTGTTGCAGTGCTGAGTGGGGCATTGGAGGAGGTCCTGGGTCATTAAGGGCTGCAATTCCGCTCAACCCCACAATTAGCCCTTGCAGTTGTTTTTTAAATGAGTTTGGGTTTTTTGTATTCTGACAGTGCTGGGGCTTGAACTCAGGGTCTGGGCACTGTCCCTGAGCTTCTTTTGCTCAAGGCTAGCACTCTACCACTTAAGCCACAGCACTATTTCTGGCTTTTTCTGTGTATGTGATACTAAGGAATGGAACCAGGGCTTCATGCATGCTAAGCAAGCACTCTACCACTAAGCCATCTTCCCAGCTCCTAGCTCTTGCAGTTATGACTAAACTAGAATGTTCCAAAGATGACCCCCGAGTCATGCTATAGACTTCCAGTGTTGCCATGCGATCCTCCTACCTCCTCAAGATCCACCATCCACCCTGAGTTCTTCATCAGAGATGAACTGACACAGCAGTGTCAGGCCCTGAAGTCACCAGGTATGCGGGCTGCTCGTGAGCAGCCTGCCCCCAGGTATTTTGTTATAGTGACAAAAACCTAACGCTGGCCTCTTCTACTCTTTTTCTTTTTGTGATGCCACTCTTGGGGTTTGAACTCAGGGGCCCACACTCTCTCTCTTTTAGCTTTTTTACTCAAGGCTATATCGCACTACCATTTGAGCCATTTTCTGGTTAATTAACTGAAAAGAGTCTCTCTGGTTTGTCTTCCTGGAATGCTTCAAATAGCAGTCCTCATATCTCAGCCTCCTGAGTGCCTAGGATGGTAGGCTGGAGCCACAAGCATTTCGGCTCTTCCCCACTTCTTAAACTATTAATTACATCTCCATGGGCCAGTGGGATGTTCGTGGCTCATGCCTGTAATCCTGCTACTCAGGAGGCTGAAATATGAGGATTACGGTCAGAAAGTCTGTGGCATTCTTACCTCCAATAAATTACTCAGAAAAAGTCAAAAGTGGCTCTGTGGCTCAAGTAGTAGAGTGCTAGCCTTGAGCACAAAGAGCCTCAGGGATAACACCCAGGCCCTGAGTTCAAGCCCTAGGGCCAGAAAAAGAACAAAAAATAAAAACTAAAAAAAATGGGCCACCATCTTCAATGCATGCCCTTAAAACATAAAACACCTAAAAGAACACACGGAAGAACTAAGAAATATTGGTAACTTTGTGATTAAAAACCCAAACTGAGCCAAACTCAGTCCCAGTGAGACTCATCTCCAATTAACCACCAGAAAATCACAAGTGGAACTGTAGCTCAATAGAGTACTAGCCTTGAGCAAAAGAGCTCAAGGATAGCTCCAAGGCCCTGAGTTCATGCCCCACCACCAAAAAAAAAAAAAAAAAAAGAAGGGATTATACCATGGGGGAAGGACATACAAAGCAACTAAAAAAAAATCACCTTATAAATATGTTAGAAACAATCACAAGAAAGAAAAAACATCTTGAGGTTCTGACCTTCTCTGCTTGTCTCAGACGTATACTAGTTATTGCAAATAAGGGAAATCATGGGACCTATGTTTCTTTGGGCCTGGCTTACTTCACTTATAATATTAATTGTTTCCCAAGTCTTTCCATTTCCTAACAAATGGGGCAATGTCATTCTTTCTGATGGAGGCATAGAATTCCTTGGTATAATTTGGGGAGGGGAAGGGAAAACACAAATTGTTTAAATAGAGATACAGGTGGACCCATTGTATTTTCACAATTAAAAAGAACTTATTAATAAAAAAAAAAGAAGAAGAAGAAAAAGCCAAACTCAGCAACCACTATTTGGCATTAAGGACAGAAACCTATGGAAGGCATTGCTTTCAATACTTCAGGTACAAACTAAGTAGATATAAATTTATACAACTTAAAAATTTTAACAATCAAAAAGAAAAGGAAAACTCACCAACAGAAGCTGAATTTTTAAGCACCGATTCTTTTGGGGTTCCTTTTTCAATTCGTATTGTGGCCCACTGTTCAAAAATAAGAGGTAGTCATTTAAATTAAGTCTTCCATAGACATGACGAAAAATACACCATGATCACAGAAAAGTGAAATTAATCACTAAGGGCACTTTTTGAATTAAAAAGAATCTCTGATGAAGCAGAATTAAAAGTCCTAGGTGATATGCTCTTATATTAGTCAGAAAGTCCTAATAAATGAGTAATGACAATAACCACCTTACCTAAACTGCCTTATATAAATCTGTGCCCTAATAAAAACTCTCTGAAAAGGCTATGAAGGCCAGGTATGGTGGCACATGCCTGTAATTCCAGTATTTAAGAGCTTAAAGTAGGAGAATACAAAATTCAAAGCCAGACTTCACAGCGTATTAAATGCTTGTCTCAGAACACTGTGAAGTATATGACCAAAAACAGATTATGGCCAGGTACTGGTGGTTCATGCCTATAATCCTAGCTACACAGGAGGCTGAGATTTGAGGATCACCGTTCAAAAGCCAGCCCAGGCATAAAAATCTGTGAGACTCCTATCTCCAGTTAACCACAAGAAAATGGGAAGTGGTGCTGTGGCTCAAGTGGTAGAGCACTAGCCTTGGCTCAGGGACTAGGCCCAAAGTTCAATTTAAAAAAAAAAGAACAGATTATGGCATAAAGAATGCCTGGATTTAGCTGGTATGGCAATTCATACCTGTAATTCCAGCTACTTGGAAAATAAATATGGGGAAGACAGAGGTTTGAGGTGAGCCTAGGTAAAAATTTTGCAAGACCCCTATCTCAACCAATAAAAGCCAAAGCATGATGGTACATGTCTGTAATCCCAGTTACACTGGGATAGGTCAACAAAGGTAAAAATCTAAGATTCAACTAAGGAAAAACTAAATGCATATAAGGCTAGAGTATGGCTCAAGTTGTGGAACCACATGCCTAGCAAGTGAGAAATCCTGAGTTCAAACCCCAGTAGGGGGAGAAAAAAAAGCTGCATGCAGTTGAAGCTGGGGCTATGTATGTAGCTTTATGGCAAAATGCTTGCCAATCATGTGTGAGGCTCCAGATTCAAGTCCTAGTATAGCCAAAAGAAAGCAATCTGAGTCTGAAATAACTTAATCCTTCTGCATTATAAATAAAAGTAATGGGCTGGGAATGTGACTTAGTGGTAGAGTGCTTGCCTGGTGTGCATGAAGCCCTGGGTTCAATTCCTCAGTACCACATACACAGAAAAAGCCAGAAGTGGCATTATGGCTCAAGTGGTAAAATGCTAGCCTTGAGCAAAAGCTCTAGTGCTCAAGCCCTGAGTTCAAGCCCTGGGCAAAAAGTAGTAGTAATAGCAGTAGTAGTAGTAGTAATAATAATAATAATAACTGAAAGGATCCATCACATCCATCCCAGGGGACCATGCAGAGGCAGGCAAGCACAGGAGAAAGATTGTTACAAGGTTTATTAGAAGAGCCATATTTCTCCTGGAGAGAGCACCTGATGACCTCTACACTATCTAGGTAGCAGCAGGGTCTGAGGGTAGGAAGTGAGGTAGATGGGATCTTAGGTGGGTCTGGGCAGAGAGAGGGAGGGGCCAGCTGTTTGGCGGGAAATCCAGGGCAGGGAGGAGCTCAGGTCTAGGTGGAGCTGAGGACCAAAGGTGGGCATAATGCTTACAATAATAAATAATATTCTCCCTATCCCCAGCTTGCTGTCAGGATTAAATAACAAACTAACAAACCATGTGTAAAGACCAAAGCACAGTGATTATTCTCCCAGCCAATCAGCCACTTGAGTATTTTACACAGTAAAGAGGCTTCAGAATGAAGCTTTTAGTAAACAGCAGCACAGGCATGCAAGAGCTTGAAAGACTCCATGAAATCACCACTTACGGTGCCATCTGCCCACCTGGCTACTTACCTATTAAGTTTGAGGTCTACAGGCTTGAGAAAATTTAGGAAATAGAAAAAGAACTCTCATTCTGCTTTGAATGTGTGCAAAGAAATATACCAAGATGAGATTTTTTAAATTTTTAATTATTTCTTATGCATTTCTAAAATGATTTACTATTTAACATCAGAGTTTAAAAAGTACAGGATGCATTATAAGCTGAGGTGCTGAATTGAAACTACTTTATATAACTAAAGGTAATTTTAAAAAGAAAAGGATAAAATGTGGATAGAATGTGGCTTAGAGGGAGAGTGCTTGCCTAGCATGCATGAAGCCATGGGTTTGATTCCTCAATATGACATATACAGAAAAAGCCAGAAGTGGCACTGTGGCTCAAGTGGTAGAGTGCTAGCCTTGAGCTGAAGAGCTGAGGGACAGCACCCAGGCCCAGAGTTCAGGCCCTACAATGGAAGGGGAAAAAAAGAGAGAAATTAAATACCATAAAAAATATACATAAAAGTCAAGGAGTGTGCCATGACCAGACTCAGTCAGGACTCTGCCCTGCACCAGAGTCAAGTAGGAACATTTCAATTACACTTAGAGAGCTCCTATAAATAGACACCTGTGCTTCTAGCCTCAAGTGTCAAATCACTAATCCTGATAAGACTTGGCCTTAATCTGGCCACATCCTGCTTATATTCTTGTCGATTTGGTTCAGGGGTTCTCAAAACTCTAAGCTCTATCTTTTCTCACCTAAGTAATGACAATTTCCATCATTTTTCAAAGAAAGGTTGGACACCTACTATTATTTGTAAGTAAATCAGAGATATGAAAAAAATAGAATTTGTCAACAATCATGGCACTTAACTTACTTTTTGTTTTTAGTGTGGGCAGATGATTCGACATTTTACATAAATATAGTTACTTTGGCTTAGTGGCAGAGTTCTCACCTAGCATGCAGGAAGCCCTGGGTTTGATTCCTCAGTCCCACATTAAAAAAAAAAAAAAAACAGAAGTGGTACTGTGGCTCAAGTGGAAGAGTGCTAGTGGCCTTGAGCAAAAGAAGCTCAGGGACAGTACCCAGGCCCTGAGTTCAAGTCCTAGGACTGACAATAATTAATTAATTAATTACTTCAGACTAGAACAATGATGTCATCCTCATAGGATAGAGAATTTTGGTATTTTATTGCAGTTGCAGCTAAGAGCTAAGTACTCCTTCCCCCTGCCCAAATTCAGTTGTTGAAGTTCAACCTCAAGTGTTTCCAAATGTGATTATAATTGGAAATAGGGTTTTCGTGTGTGTGTGTGTGTGTGCGCGCGCGTGCGCGCGTGCTCGTGCACCAATACTTAGGGTTGAAATCTCACTTAGCTTTTATGTTCAAGGCTATTACTATACCATTTGAGCCACTGATCTCCTTCCAGCTTTTTGCTAGTTACTTGGAGATAAGAGTTTTAAGGACTTTTCTGCTCTAGCTGGCCTCAAATCATAATCCTCAGATCTCAGCCTCTTGAGTGGTTAGGATTATAGACATGGAGCCACCATCATCCAGGTGAAAAAATGACTGAGTGAAAATAAAGTCTTTTTGGCACTTTGCTCTTGAACATGCAGCCTCCCTGACCATGAGAAAATATATGTGTGCCAAAGGAAACTTGTAACAGACAACCATTCTTTATAGGTTTGCCTCACAAAAGAAGGTGGGAAACAAGCCTGGACTTTGCAGCTGGCTGGCTGTACCTCAGAACCTCAATCCTACCATTTCCTGGCTATAGCCATCTCAGTCAAGAGACTGAACCTCCAGGGCATCTATGTCATCATGATAAAGCAGGAACAACGCCAGGGGTACTGTAAAGATGGAAGGACCCAGCCCATGAGGTACTCACCACACAGCAGGACACAAATAGAATGATGGCTTGCTCCTCTCTCCCCACACCCTACACACCTGATCTAGGTACCAGAAATGACCAGTTCCTTCCCGAACTCTGAGGGTCCCTCCTGATGGATAGTTATTTCCCACAATGGGGTTAAGTCCACATACAGAGAGAGATCATGTATCCAGCAGAGATTTTGAGTGTCTTCTTCACTAGCTTGGAACACATCTGCCTCAGCTCCAGTAGGTAGCTCTGCAGACACGAGGGTCCTAAACTCAGAAGCATCTTCTAATAACCCTACTTTCCACCGCATTCTCTATGCCCCAAGGAAAGTCAAGTCAGGCTTTCAGAACACTTGATTTCCAAACACTTAGTGAAAACAGTAGCTGTTCAAAATTCACTAATAGGAAGTAGCTTCAAGTCTGATTTTAAAGAGTAGTTGGGACTCTGGGTACTGGTAGCTCATGCCTGTAATCCTAGCTACTCAAGAAGCTGAGATCTGAGGACCACAGTTCAAAGCCAGCCAGGGCAGGAAAGTCTATGAGTCTCTTATCTCCAATTAAGCACCCAAAAGCCAGAAGTGGAGCTGTGGCTCAAATAGTATAGTGTTAGCCTAAAGCATGAAAGCTCAGATACAGAGCCCAGGCCCAGAGTTCAAGCCCCAGGAGCAGAAAAAAGAATAGGCAGAAAGCTTGCAAACATGAGACACTCACCCAGACAATGATTTCTGATTGTGTGTGTGTGTGTGTGCGCGCGCACACACGCACGCACACACACACGCGCCAGTACTAGGGTTTGAACTCAAGGCCCTCATAATATTTTTTTTCTTTTCTTTTCTTTTTTTGCCAGTATTAGGGCTTGAATTCAGGGCCTAGGCACTGTCCCTTGAGCTTCTTTTGTTCAAGGCTAGCACTCTACCACTTGAGCCACAGTGTCACTTCTGGCTTTTTCTGTTTATGTGGTACTGAGGAATTGAACCCAGGGCTTTATACATGATAGGCAAGGCACTCTACCACTAAGTCACATTCCCACCCCAAGGCCCTCATACATGTGCTTGTTTTTTTTTGCTCAACACTGACTCTCTACCACTTGAACCACAAGTCTCCTTCCAGCTTTTTGCTAGTGAATTGAGGATACAAGTTTCAGAGACATTCCTGCCTGGGCTGGCTCTGAACCAAGGTCTTTAGACCTCCACCTCCTAAATAGCTAGATATACAGGATCAGCCACAGGCACGAGGCTTTATTGTTTTAATCAGTTTCTCTTTTTTAACCTTCTTAAA